CATAGAAGTTATAGAAAGTCAAAGATTTGGAACAGAATTGATGGAAGCCCTTACAATTTTTTTCTTTCTTTCCTAGGCCTTAACATCATTAAACATCTTATTAAACTAAAAAAAAAAAAAAAGGGGTCACAATAAAATTTAAAAAAAAAAAAAAAAAAAAAAAAGCAGGGAGGAGGCTGAGGGCCTAGCTCAGTGGTAGATTGCTTGCCTAGTATGCGTAAAGGCCTAGGTTTGATCCCTGATACTGGGGATAAAAACAAAAGGCATACTGCACAATCCCTCCCCAACAAAGTCTACTCACCTCACCATCAGGAAGGACAACTCCTTGATGTCTTTTTTTTTTTTTAAATACATAGTACACATAGTACATGATCATAAACCTACTTGTTGAATAATAGATTAAAAAAGATAATAATTTTTAGCAAGCCAAATTACTATAATTTAAAATTCTTCTGTGCAAAAATAAAATTGTGTTCATTTATTTCATTTTCAAAATGTTTGTATTCTACTTATTCCCTCATCAAAAACTAAACAAATTTTAAAAAATCCCAACTTTGCCAACAACCTCAAAAATTCAGCAGTGACATTTGAGTCTAGTATAGTACTTCTCCTCCCAAAGAAGCTATTTAAAGTAGATTTCAACATTCTCTTGAAGGAGATGAGAGCTACTGAAATATTTAAAGTAGTAGATTCAATCTCTGGTCTAGAAAACTAACTCAGGCAACAAGAAATTACATTTTAAGTTTCAAGAACAGAATCCTGCAGACCTTCAGGTTTCTTTTTTCTAATAACTTAACTGGCACACATTCTCCATTTCTTTTACCATTCCTGGAGAATTTCCTGGCAAATCATTAAGATTCAGCAAAAGTTCAACTTGAGGCTGTTCGGCAACAGCCACCCACCTCTTCAGGTAACCAATGTTATCAGCATCCCTTAAGTACTCCTCTTTTTACACACCTACTATAATCCTTTTTTTTTAAGAGAGAGAATTTTAATATTTATTTTTTAGTTTTCGGCGGACACATCTTTGTTTATATGTGGTGCTAAGGATGGAACCCAGGCCACACACATGCCAGGCGAGCGCGCTACCACTTGAGCCACATCCCCAGCCCCACCTACTATAATTCTTTATAGGTTCCTCTCCTCACTAGATGAGTACTACCTGTTCTTTTTTATTAGTTTTTGTAGCCCCTGCTTCAAGCAGAGACAGCCCATTGAAAGGTTTAAATGAATCAATCCTCCATAACTATAGTTGTGACAACTTAATAAGGAGAATTATAGACTCCGAAGTAGGGAAAATAGTACACCAAGTAAAAACATAAACGTCATTTCACAGGACAAATGTTTCCATAATTGGCTAAGGGGTGACTTAGGACTTCAAAATACATGCAATTCATTTTTGGGTGCTTTAGAATTTTAAGTGTTTTAGACAATTTGGCTTTCCCAAAAATATTCTGGATTTCTTAAACATACTACTGTCATTGAGAACTCTTTTGCAGCTTTCCCAAATGCATTACTTCACCTCAGACCTTTAGACTTTGGCAGTGCTATTCCTGCCACCCACAAGTCCTATAGCTCACTTACCCCTACCACACACTATACACACCTTCCCTATCAGCTTTAACTTTCCCTTCAAAATACATTCTAAATTCAAATCTACATATTAAGATAACTTGTGAGTGTAGTATTATAATTAAGAATTTATTATTCACTCATGAAAGACCATACTCTGCCAATACAAAAATCACATCTCTCAATGAGTGATCTCTCTCTAAAATAAGAGATTTCTTACATGTCTTTGAAACCTTCCTTGCCCTTACCAACTCTCTTTCCCCAAACATAGCTTTAATCCTTGCCAGTATTTTGTACTCAGTAAATAATTGTTCAAAGAATCAAAGTGCCTTTTTGTAAAATCATACCAAGATTTCAGCTAAAACAGCTCTTTCTTTGTCTTTCCTTCTCTCCCTCCCGCCCCATCTCCCCTCCTACTGAGGACTGAACCAGGGGCACTTAACCTCCTTTTTTGTATTTTATTCAGAGACAGGGTCTCACGGAGTTGCTTAGGGCCTTGCTAAGTTGCTAAGGCTGGCTTTGAACTTGTGATCCTCCTGCCTCAGCCTCCTTGAACTGCTGGGATTACAGGCATGTGCCACTGCACAGGCCTAGGACCCTGTTTTTTAACCCACAATATCTACAGTAAAGTTAATATTTTGTGTTAACAATGTGACTTTTACAGTTTCTACCTATCTCAGTCAGGCTAACTTCTACACCTTTGTAACATTGTTGCCCTTCCTTTATGCTTCCTAAGCCCCTGTGCTTATATTTCAAGTAAGCATGTCTCCTACACATTGCTGCCTGAGCAGGTACAATACTTTACACAAAATGGCTGCTCAATATAATTCTGCTAATGAACTATGGACATTTTTAACAGTCCTTACTGTTGTTCTAATAGAATGTTATCTTAAAAGTCATGATTTTTAGAAACCACAAAATTGATTTAAATCTAAAAAATATCTATTATTGTATTTCAGTTAGACAAGCAAGGGGTTTCAGAACAACTACTGAAATTTTCCCTGACTTGGGAAGACTATCAGTATTCAATTTTACGAGCAACCCACCTCTAAGCCTTTCATCCACTCACAAAGTCACATACCCAAGTGGGTCAAGTTCTGTGAAGGTCTGTCCTTTCCATTTCTGCAATCACCACTGAAGTACTGGCCCTTATAGATCACATGGTAGCCCAACAGTCTGACTAAACTTTTCTTCTTTTCCTCTCTTTATTCCACCAATCACACTGTTACCAATGTAATCTCCACTTAAAGTCAGTGGTTCAAAATGTTGGATAATTTTGTCACTCCCTTCTCTCCTTGAACACCTGACAGCTTCTAGAGACATTTTCAGTTATTAAAACTATAGGAGTGCTACTGGAATCCAATGGGGGTGGGTGATTGTCATGCAATCAAGCATCCTACAAAGCAGGATAGCACAGCACTTACCACAAGAATTATCCGGCCATAGATCACCAAGTTTTTAAAATTCTTCGAGTATCAGTTTCCTTATCTGTACAAGAGGGTTAAGAAATTACCTTAAAGGGCTGTCAGAAAGACTGTGTCACTGTATACAGAATGCTGAGCACATCTACACAATGGATGTTTTCACACTTAAAACAAGGTACAATTCTTGTGTATCTTGTCTTACATAAGAAGGGTAGAATGAAGGCCGATGGTAGGAACAGAAAGTCCTAAAAAGAGAACTTCAAATGAACAATAAAGAGGTATTTTTCTGGACCTGAATACATTATATGCTGATAATATTAACAAATAGGGTGCTGAACCATGGTTAGACCAAGTGTTATTCACTGGGAAGAATATCAATGTCATCATCAAAAATTAGAGGAGATTTAGAATGATGAGCATCCCATTTAAAATAAGTCTTCATTAATATGTGATTACATACAAAAGTGTGTACACCAGCATTGGGGAATCATGGCACACTAACCTCTTTTCATTGACACAACTACTAAACTTGGGTCCACTATGGATAGTATGTATCTGCAATGTTATGTCAAATCTGGCAGGACCAGATTTCATAAGTCTAAGAAACACAGTTTGGGCACAATGACAAACAGGTAGAAATGTAATCACTAGAGTAACAGCACCAAAGGTGGTGTCTAACCTCATGTCACCACATAGACATCTGTGCTCTTTCCCCTCTCTTTCTGTGGATAACCCTTCCATAAGTGTTCAGGACAAAGCCTTCTTGCCTTATCACAGACCCAACATCTTCAGTCACTTCTCCGTTCTGGGGTCCTAGAGAATCACTACCATCCAACTTCAAATACCCCTTACCATCTCCTATACCACAGTACCTTGCTCCTACAGTTTCTGCGAATTTCTCTGCCTCCCCCCAGTCTGTAGCCAAGCTTCTTGAAAGTCTCCACTTCCTCACCTCTCAACTACTATTCCCAACATTCCACCAAATAGGCCAGACTCACTTTTCTGCCCTCATTTTAGGGTTCAGTTTTGCATTGTATGCAAGAAACCAAAAAGGAAGGAAAGGAGGAAGGAAGGGAGGGAGGGAGGGAGGAAGACAGTAGTAGAGGAAAAAGAATGTCTGAAACTTGGTAGTCACAGAAACATTAAAAAAAAAAAAAGGAAGTTCAGAATTAGTTAATCTTGTGATGCCTAAAGCTAATGGGATCTCAGCACAACAGAAATAGGTTTACTCTCTGGGTTCTGGCTGTCTCTCACCCAGAAAGAACTCAGTTCCAAGGACAGTATTTTAGAAAGTAAGATTCAAACTACCATCACTGCCTGAAGATGCAACCTGTTGCCCTGGGGAAGTGTAAGACAAGCACCCTAGCAAAGAGCAAGGTCTTTTCCCCAGTTGAGTAACTTCTAAAATTTCTTCCAAACAAGACTGAACAAATGATTGCTAAATCATATATTTAGCAAATGAGAAAACATACAGAACTTAAAGCCCAGGTTCTCTGACTCGAGTCCAAAATTTTCGGACAAAGTTTAGAATACTGACGTGTTTCATGAAAGCGAACATACCAGAGTGAAAAGATACCAGAGTGAACCGACAGCACGACCCTGGATTGCACTGGTTAGAGCTTCTTCAACTCCTTCTTACCCGCCCGATTTGGGGGAACAGCGAACGGAAATGGGACCTCCCACTTGGTAGAACCACAACCTTCCTCCAGTAGATTCTCATTCCTTTACTGCTCCCCCTCCTGAGGGCACCTCCCTGCACATCAACCACCAAATGAAAAGATCTGATCTTACGTGTCGACTTGCCTCCTTCTCAGCAGCACCCGGAGAACCAGAGGGGGCAAATCCAGGGCTCCCCTAAGACCTCCCAAAACCCAGAGACGATCGGAGTCGCGCCCAGGGCCCCTTCTTGGCCCGAGAGAAAGGATCCGGCGCAGGAAGGCGCACAGCCGCCGACCCCGACTCCCGCACGAGACCTCCTCCGCCTCTCACGCCCACTCGGCTCACCAGCGTGGGACATGGCCGCCGTGAGGTTCCCGTAGCGCTCCTCGTTGTACACCACCACCGCCGAGGCGTTCCTCCGCGCCGCCGCCAGCACCTTCTCCTTGAAGGTGCAGCCCCCCCGCGCCACCAGGGCGACCCACGGCGCCGGGCCCTGGCCGCGAGGCGTGGGCACCAAGAAGCGCGTGCCTGGCGCGCAGCCCTCGGGGTCTCCTCCCGGCGCCAGCGGGACGCCCACCAGGCCCTGCGCGTCCTCCTGGGGCGAGCTGTCGCCGAAGCGGCCGCTCTCCGAGACGCTGCGCACCGTCAGGTTCGTCTGCGGGTCCACGTACTCGAGGCCCACCACCGCCGAGTACCACTCGAGCGCTCGGCTCTGGGCCCCCGGCGCGCACCAGGCCAAGGCCAGCAGCGCCAGCGCGCCGCGGGCTCGGATCCCGGCCGTAGCCCGCCGCGGCCACGCCATGGCCTGACCGCCGGGCTGCGGAGGAGCCAGCGGGCGCCGAGCGTGAGGGCTCGCGCGAAGCCGCCGAGGAGCCAAGACAAACTGCCGCCCGCCGCCGATCCGCAGGGGAGTGAAGCCCGGGAGGAGGAGTCGCGGCGCACGCGCACCTGGAGGGGCGTGGCAGCGCGGGGGCGGGGCCACGTTGTCCCGCCTCTTCGCTCTCGGATGGAGTGCGCAGGCGCGACACGCTCTCCGAGACTGGGTCGAGGTGAGCGGCTGAGCTACATCCGGGGGCCAGCAGAAGCTAGTGAGGGCGTGGCCACTCACGCCTCTGCCGGAGCCACGCCTGAGCCTCTGGGGCGGAAGCGGAACTGGTGCCACCGGACGCCGAGCGACCCCGAGTCTGGGAACCGTCCCGGTTACGGGGTGCAGAACGGCCGGCGGAGGACCGCGGTGGTGTGAGAGCTCGGCGAATGTCTGAGTCGACCGCGCAAGGCGTAGGGCCAAGACTTGCCTTGTCTAAGCCACTCGAAAATGCCCTTTTGAGCAGAACCCCAGTCGTGCGTGTGTGACGCGCGTGTCAGCTGAGCCCTTCGGTGGTGACTTGGTAGTGAGTTTTAATCCTCTCCAGGCTCGTCCCCAACAACCCTTTGTGTCTGGTGCTGGCGTCACCAGGACCGAGGGTCCCCAGGAGGTCCCGAAGGAGAGGGAAGCGGTCAGCAACTCGAGCTGTGAGGATTCCTGACCCTCCGAAGGATGCTCAGGACGCACGGTGCAGGGAGGAAGTGGGCCAGGCCGGCCTCACCCTAAGGTGGGGTGGAAACACAGACATGATGTGCCCACAATACCTGTAGTACACAGCTTACGTGTAGGATACACATGTGTGCAAATAACCTAGTTTACAGGCACGATGCAAGAAGGTATTTTTAGTTCTTTGTTTTTTGTGTTCATCACTTGAGGTGTTCAGCATTACCTATTAGGGGTTTGTTGGGTTTTTTTTATTGTTGTTTGTTTTTTGATTTTGTGTGAGTGTGAGAAAAATCTCACCTTGGCTCTGAGGTGTTTCATGGTTTTGCTTTGTAAGTTTAAACAGTACTATACTATATTTATGTATAATTGAGGGTTACTGTGCATTTTATCAGGAGTATGGTACATGGGTGGAGTAATCAGATCCTAAAAATATAAATTAGAGAAAAAAAATCTTTCCTTGAGCTACGAATTTGGGGTCTACTTTTGTTTATGCAAAAGTCAGAGCGAGGTTACTTAGGAACCTGTGAATAAGTTCTGATAATTGACTTAATAGTGTTGTATGTGAACAGAGTTATGTACAAGTGGAATTTAAAACAGGAATTTAAATATGGCCACTCTTATTTTATCCCATGTCTTTTTTCTGTCTAATATTATGTCTTCTATCCTATCTCAGTAGTTTATGTATAATGTGTAAACTGCCATTTAAATGAGCACCTAGGTTATATTTAATCAATTCATAGAAAAATGGGTAAAGAATTTGTTTGGAAATGAATACAGGTGATTCAGTGTCCATATAAAACTGCAATAGATACAAAGTCTACTTGCTATGTAGCATTGAATGATTCCAAACACAATTTCCTCCATGAGCAAAACAGGTTTTGGTATAATAAGAAATTGTAGTGTGGGGCTGGGGGTGTAGTTCAGTTGTAGAGTACTTGAGGTCATAGGTTTGATCCCCAGAATCACCAAAAAAAAAAAAAAAAAAGAGTATATGTCTGTTTCCTCCTCTCTTGGAGAATATGAAGACTCTCCATATGTGAGAACTTGGGAGTAAATTCCCCTTCACCTTGAGAATGTATCATCATACCTAATCAGGCCCCATATATGAACTACTAGACATCAAAACACCTATAAGCCTAAAACTTTGACAGAGATACTTTGAGAGTCATGGCAGGTCACACTGTTAGCTGCTTCTCTGAATACCCACAATCATAGGCTATGCAGACCTTTAACTAAACTCCCAAGCCAGACCTGCCCATATTGGCATTACCTTCTAGCTTGGAGTGTTATCACAGATCTGTGCTGTAATGGTCAAACCAGTTTCTCCTGAGAACCACTTGTATAAAGGTACACTTCAACCTTTAATTAGATTTACTTTCCTCAGAGGCCTGTTTTCATCCTAATTGAGCAACTAGACTAATAATTATGGAACTCACCCACTATGTGGTTAATATACCCAGCACTATCAAATATCTTCCCTGGGAGATTTCTTCACATTATTCTCCTTCTCTTTCAGCATTGTGAACCTAAGGAAGAAATTCTCTTTGTAAGGCAATAAACTATGTGATTTGTGAATTCACACTTGGCTTAGCTTCTTATTTTCACCATACAAAACACTACTGTTGTAAGAACTTCTGACTGACTCATCTTCCTTCTTTGTACAAAGATCTGTAATTACAGGAACTAGGTTGTTGGTACCCACACAACATTGTTAAACCCCCTCGTCTTTCCTCTTTGTCTTTCTACATGTGCTCTGAGATGCAGCCTGGCCCACAATCCGTGAGTTATTCTTGAAATTGGATCACCTCTCTGATCAGGAAACTAATTGTGGAAGATTGATAGAATCCCAGGCTTAAGGCCTTACCTTTGTCCAGACCTAGAGTAAGAAGGGAAAATATGGTGATCTATGCAGGCTGGGAACTAGTCTCAGAACCTGCCCCCCAACTTTATGCTCCTGCAAAACAAAAAATACTTGTAGTTCCCAGAACACATTATTGTGGTTTCATGTTATGTCTTGCAAATTCATTTCTTTCTTCCTGAAATAGTCTGCTCCTGACCCTTTTCCTGGCAAATACCAACTTGGTCTTCAAGTTTAAAACTCCAAAGTTGTTTCTTCTGTGAAATCTACATTAGTTAACTATAGGCAAATTTAGATGTTCCTCCTGTTTTCCACATTGCTTGTGTATAATTGCTTATACATAAATGTTGTACCGGCAATACTGTTTCCCAAGCCTGTTTTTTTTTTTCTTCTTAGAGTACTGTCAATGTATTTTTATTGGTGCATTATAACTACCAAGTTAGGTTTTTTATTTCTTATAATACTATGCATGTGTTTTGTGTGTAATCAATGTTTGTTAAATGAGAAAAATGACTCTTTTGTACAATTCCAGGTTTATAGACTCAACAGGCTAAGAGAAACAGGCTTTGGAGCTATTGAACCCTTGGGCCCAGCCCAGCCTCTTGGTTTTTATTCTTTCATTACCAGCTGTAAGCCTCAACTGATTTTCCCTGATCCAAAACTGCTACTACTATCTCAAACCTTCATGACCCTCTTTTTGTGCACTGGCTGCCAAGTGTCACTCAGACTCTTCAATTCCCTTTGTGTAGTGCCCCAGAAGAACTCACAGGCCTTACCCCCAAGTCTTTTTGTTTGTTTATTTATTTCTTTGTTTTAGGGACTCAATCATGAGACCATAATCCTGGAATAGTACAAAAGAGTCATTTTTCTCATTTAACAAACACTGATTATACATACAACAGGAGAGATGTGTCTTTACCCTTTAATCATTTTATTAAGAAACATTTCACACATTTCCCAAAGCAGAGAGACTCCCAAAACTGCATGCACTCATAACAGATTCAGTAACGATCAAGTCATAGCTAATCTGAGTTTAAATTTATCAACAGTTACTTCCTCTCTTCCCTGTTGGATTACTTAGAAGCAAATTCCAGAAGTTGAACCAGGCTCGGTGGTACACTCGTGAATCCTAGCTATTTGAGAGACTCAGGCAGGTGGACTGCTTGAGCCCAGGAGTTTGAAGCTGGCTTGGGTAACAGGATACCCATCTCAAAAATAAATAAGTAAAGCAGTATGGAGATTTTTTGGAAAATTGGGAATGGAACCACCATTTAACCCAGCTGTCCCTCTCCTGGGTCTATACCCAAAGGACTTAAAAACAGCATACTACAGGGACACAGCCACATCAATGTTTATAGCAGCACAATTCACAATAGCTAAACTGTGTAACCAACCTGGATACCCTTCAATAGATGAAGGGATAAAAAAAAAATGTGGTATATATACACAATGGAATATTACTCAGTAATAAAAGACAATAAAATGACATTTGGAGGTAAATGGATAGAGTAAGAGAAGATAATGCTAAGTGAAGTTAGCCAATCCCCCAAAAACAAATGCTGAATGTTTCTTTGATATAAGGAGGCTGATTCATAGTGGGATAGGGAGCAGGAGCATGGGAGAAATAGATAAACTCTAGATAGGGCACAGGGGTTGGTGGGGAAGGGAGGGGGCATGGGGTAATTTATGACGGTAGAATGGGATGATCTTTATTATCCAAAGTACAAGTATAAAGATGAGTTGGTGTGTATATACTACATCTACAACCAGAGATATGAAAATTGTGCTCTACATGTGTAATAAGAATTATAATGCATTCTGCTGTCATATATAAGTAAAAAATACATAAAAATAAATAAGTAAATAAATAAAAATTAGCTCAGTTTTTAAATATACTTAAATATCCAGTCAGTGCCTAAATAGCCCTGATTTTTTTCCCAAATGTTATTTTACATTTGTTTGGATTAAGATTCACACATTACATTTGGTTGAAATGATTCTCAAATTCTCCCCGCCCCCCCCAGTCTTTGGAGTACTAGGGATTGAACCCAGGAGACTTAACCACTGAATCCACAACCCCAGCCCTTTGATTGATTGATTGATTGATTGATTGATTTTGAGACAAGTTCTCACTAAGTTGCTTAGGACCTCATTAAGTTGCTGAGGTTGGTTTCAAATTTACAGTCTTCCTGCATCATCCTTCCGAGTCTCTGGGATTATAAGCATGATCAACCTTTTCTATTCCCTTTGGAAGAAATTTGATGATTTGTCTTCTACAATTTCCACATTCTGTATTTAGCTGATTAAAACCTCATAGTATCATTTGGTATTTTCTATTCCCCATATTTCCTGTAAATTGGTAGTTAGATCAAGAGATCTGATTTGATCTGGGTCTGATTTAGGAATAAGGATATATTTCATAGGTTGTGCTGTGTACTTCTATCTGGAAGCATATCATATTGTGGTGCTTTTCTTCTTTGAAAAGTTTGTGGCCATTAATAGTTTTTAA